CCCGGGCTTCTTACAGCTAAAGAACATTGGTTACATGAGAAACATGTGACTTCCTGTGAGTAACATAAACAAACATTTAACCCCAGATGTACGGAGTGTTTTCAGCTTGTAATACCCAACAGGCCCTCTCAGTCTCTCACAAACTGAACTTCCCACCGGTTCTCCCCGCTTTAAATTCCCCCTCATCCTCAAATTTAGTGGTCTCGTTTTCCAGTTTCGTGTCGTAGTTAAGTGCGCAGACTCTAACCTGGGAGGACCGGGTTTGATTCCCCACTCCTCCACTTGCACCTGCTGGATGACCTTGGGCAAGCCCTAGTTCTCTCAGAGCTGTCTCTCAGCCCCGCCTACCTCGCTGGGTGTCTGATGTGGGGAGGGGAAGGGACAGGAGTCTGTAAGCCGCTCTGAGACTCGGAGTGAAGGGCCGCGGGGCAGAAATCCCTTCTCCTGCTCCTCCTCCCCCCTGCAGGCTGTAACTTCAGACTGCGGTCTGACTTCTGAGGCTCCACTCCCCAGCCTCCTCCTCCTCCTCCTCCTCCGGCCCCTCCTCCCGCGTGCCTTTCCCCTCCCTCCTATCGTCCGGCCTTCTCCTCCTGGCCTCATCCAAGCATCCCCTCGAACCCCTTTCAGCAACTCTCCAGCCCATCTTGAGATGCTTCCCCCCTTGTATTTCTCCTCTCCCCTTCTGTGTTTGGGAGGAGACTTGCATGCAGCCTCAGGAGAGACCAGCTCAAAGCGGCACACAACGTGAATGTGGGGACACCTTAACAGCTGCATAAAAAGCAGGAGACCCAGCAGGTCTCCAAAGACAGAACTGGAGCATCAAACCAGCACAATCCATGCCATTGCCTCACATTTTATTTTATTTATTATTTATTTCATTCAATTTCTATCCCGCCCTCCCCGCGAACAGGGTCAGGGCGGCTCACATTCATAAATCCACATAAAACACACATAAAAACAGTTAAAACATTTTGAACAGTCAAATAATCACAGTGCTAACAGTCGTAGCTATTCTTCGTTGATAAGATGGCGTATTCTATGATGTAACACACACAGTTTCCAGCTCAGTAAACTTCCGGCATCACACGACGGCATAACTGATCTCCAGACCAGGGCCAACCCACTGCCACAGATGTTGGTGGTAGTGGTGGGCGGCTCCTAATTGGAAGCCTGGAGGAAGAGCTCCATCTTGCAGGCCCTACGGAACTGTAAAAGATCCCGCAGGGCCCTGATCTCTTCCGGGAGCTCATTCCACCAGTGTGGAGCCACCACTGAAAAAGCCCTGGCCCTGGTGACAGCGAGCCTGGCCTCCTTAGGGCCTGGGATGGTCAATCGATGTTGTGACCCCGACCGCAGTGCTCTCTGGGGTATATATGGGGAAAGGCGGTCCCTCGGGTATGTTGGACCCTGGCCATATAGGGCTTTAAAGGTAAGTACCAGCACCTTGAAGTGAACTCGGTATGCTATTGGCAGCCAGTGCAGTGCCTTCAGCGTAGGGCCGGATGTGCTCCCATCTAGGAAGACCCATCAGAAACCTGGCTGTGGCATTCTGCACGAGCTGCAGCCTCCGGATCTGGGACAAGGGCAGCCCCATGTAGATACTCTAATCTCGAGGTGACCATTGCATGGATCACTGTTGCTAGGTCATCGCGTTCGAGGAAGGGAACCAACTGCCTAATCAGCCGCAGATGGTAAAAGGCCAACTTGGCAGTGGCTGCTATCTGGGCCTCCATTGTTAAGGAGGTATCCAGGAGCACTCCCAAACTCCTCACCTCCGGTGCTGGCACTAGTGGTGCCCCACAGAAGGTCGGGAGTGGGGTCCCCAACCCCAAACTGCCCCGACTCAGGCACAGGACCGCCGTCTTCCCCGGATTTAGTTTCAGCCGGCTCAGTCTAAGCCAACCAGCCACAAACAATCAGCAGGATAGAAGCAGACTAGAAATGCACGGGGAAAGTTCAAAACCCTTCATTGCAGAACTGTTTGGGCCTCGACTCTCATGGTAGAGAGTGGGCAAGCTCTGAGCAGAGGGCATTCCAGTGGCAATGGGCCACTCCCAAAAAGGCCCTGCCACTGTTTAATATTTGGACTGTGTATAGCTATGAATCCAACGGGGATTGTGAAGGAAAAGAAAAGTTTGAATTGTGACAGCGAAAAGTGCCTCATGAGCGCTTATAAAAGTCAACAATTGAAGAGGAGAATCCAGCGAAGAGATTGGGAGCGGATAAAAGCGAAATTGAAATTAATACCATTCTCAAAGCTGGAGATCTCTGGGCATGGCATGAAAGGAAGACGACTTATAGCACAGGAACTGAAAGAGTTAACAGCGACCCGAAGGAGGAGGGGAAGAAGCCGGAGGGAGAGAAAAACAGAGGAAGCCCCTCCCGTCACTGAGAGTGGAAAAGTAACCAGCACGTAAAAGAAGCGGTTTTGAATGTGCCCTGAAGAGACTTTTTAACAGAAATTCAAAGGAACATTACTAACATACTAATACAGAAAGTAACTGGAATGGAAAAAAGATGTTTGAAGCCTTTGATGATTGGACATTACTAACAGTTTAATCTAACAGTTAATAGATCACTCAGCTTTCTCTTCGTCCCACTATATACCTTCCCTATTTTTCTTTTTAAGCGAAACTCCTCCCCTTTTTAGGGGAGTCAATAAAATCTTTATACAAAAAAAAAAGGCCCTGCCACAACTTGTCGGGTATTGCAAGTTGAAAACACTCCGTACATCTGGGGTTAAATGTTTGGTTATGTTACTCACAGGAAGTCACATGTTTCTCATGTAACCAATGTTCTTTAGATGTAAGAAGCCCAGGAATTTTCTCCCTGATCTAGGGATTTGATTGGGACTAAAGTGTCAAGGTGTATTAGCATTTTATGGCTTCTCTTCCCGTCTTTGTTTGGTGTTCTCAAGAAGAAGAAGAAGAGTAGCCATAATCTCTCTCTTCTTGTTTTGTCTTTTGTAGAGTAAGGATGTAGCCGTTTGAATTATTTTATTCCGGGACTGCTGGACTATCTTATCTCTGCTAAATACCATTTTCCCAATATCTCACCATCACCCAACACAACTCAGCACCGGTCTCCCCTCTGCCAGTGAGGGCACAGAGAACAGGAGGACTTGGTGGGCAGGGCAGGGCAGGTGGGGTGAGGTGAGGTGAGGTGTGGCGGTCCTTCAGGCCTGCCAGTTGCAAGGCCTTACAAGGAAGAAGCCGCACTCTGAACTGTGCCTAGATCTCTGTATGCCTGCAAGTGCCACACCGAAGGTCGTGTGGTTGGGTTCACGGCCTTCCTTTCTCGCCCCACGCTCCTCCTCCTGGCCCCTGCCCTCTCTCTCTCCCTGGGCTGGTGCTCTGGCTGGCTGGCTCAAGGCCAAAGAGTGACTCCCCGCCTTTGTGGGCACCTCTCTCCTTCCTGCCGGTGGGTTCTGTCGTGGCTCCCAGCACTGCTGACTGACTGACTTCGCCCCCTCCCGGACCACCCTTCCTGCCTTTCACCCCCACCCCAGAGGCCTGCCTCTTTCGTGTTGAGGGTGGGGCGTGGCCTGGGAGGGGCCCGTGGGTGGCCCCTATCCCCTGACACCCTCGGGGCTGAAATCCACAGTGCCACCCTCACACGCTCTCCAGGCGGAAAGGCCCATCCATCGAGTGGGGCGGCCCTCCAGTCCCTCGGCCTGCCTGGGCCTTACACAGCCAGAGAAAGGGGCTCTGACACCCGACAGCTCCGGCTGGATGGAGTGAATGGTGCTTGTGCGGGGGGCGGGGGGGGCACCTGTCTTGTTTTCTGGAAAAGCTGGCTTGTTTGGTGTGGTTTGAAAAGTCCTAAAACCCAATAACATCTTAAGACTAGCAACAGTAATGTTGATGTGAGCTTCCTCCTAAAGAACAAAATCTCGTTTTAAAGAATAAATTGGGAGATTTCTAAGACCAACAAAGTTTTATTCGAGGTGTGAGCTTTTGTGTGCATGCACACTTCATCAGACATGTGCCTGCACACGGAAGCTCACACCTTGAACAAAACTTTGTTGGTCTTAAAGATCCCATTGGGGGACTCTAACTTTATTCTGTTGCTTCAGACCAACAGGGCTGCCCCCACCTTGATCTATCTTTCGGAATTTCTGTTTTTAAAAAACAAGGGGATGGTTGGTGCCAGTGTTCCCTCTAAGCTGAGTTAGTGTGAGCTAGCTCACAGTTTTTTAGCCTCTGGCTCACACATTTTTGTCTTGGCTCAGGAAGGATGGGGCTCCAGAAGAGCAAACTAATTTATGCAGCAGCCCAATCGCTAGCTCACAACTTTAATGCTAGCCACTCACAAAGTGGAATTTTTGCACACAAGACTCTGCAGCTTAAAGGGAACATTGCAGCGACAAATCAGTCACAACCCCAGTGGTGTCCCCACCCCTTTCCTCGGGCTCCGGGCAGAGCGACAGAGACCTGTCCTCATTCCAGCAGTCTGAAGGGGGCTTGCGCCAACCCCTCCCCCCTCCCCCGACGGGCAGGTGCCTCAACAGGTAATTCAGGGGCGTGTTCCTGGGCAGAGGTCATCAGCTGATAAGAGCTGCCCTGAGCCTGCCTGTGGCGGGGAGGGCGGGATAAAAACTGAATGAATGAATGAGTGAATAAGTAAATAAATACATAAATAGGCGCGCTTCGGGCCTTCCTGCTCAACGCTCAGCCGGTTCTCTCCCCCCCC